AGATTTTGTGCTGTTGAGGCTAGAGAGGTGAGCAGAGTAAACCTGATTCCCTGTAAAGACTTCTCTGTTGACACCCATCCCTAGGCGTTCATATGACCTTATGCAGTTGCTAGGAGCGTAAAACCTTACTAAAACGAAACTCTCTCCCTCTCCCTCTTTCTCATCACAGATCCTGGAGTCGTGTATGGTGACAGGCCTGCCTGTAGTGAATGTCCTGGAGGATCTGCCTGGTTATTTCATCCAGCACTTCGTCCCACCGGAGGACATGGAGCACCTAGACATGAACGACACCGCCATCTTGGAGAGGATCGCTGATATACCTTTGGACGACATCCACGTAAGGACTGTCCGGGCGTATCGAGTTTTGGTGTTTCAAATCAAACTGAGAAATACAAGCTCAGACAATTAAAATGTTAAATTATTTTAGGACAATTTTCCAAATAAAAGTTCAAAAGAGCATAACTATCACATGTCTTCAATCTTCGTATTGAAACAAATTTTGCAGTGTCAACTTGGGACTTTCGTCAATACGAAAATTCAAGACATATCATATTTATGCTTTGTAAAACCTTTCTTTGTACAATTGTTTTGCCCCAATTGGAGACTATTATGTTGTGAACCGGATGGATGCTGTAGGGTGATCACATTTTTGAATGTAATAAATCTTTTGATTATCAAAATTCATAGCAACACATGACAAGCATGCATTGGATGGGAAGAGATGTAGTGAGATAACATTATATCATTCTGGAAATAAGAGAGGGAAAAGTAAATTAAAAGTTGATACATGAGATAACACAGGGCTGACTCATGTATCACCAAAGATAAAATGGAAAAGCCAATAGATATTTAAGAGAAAGTCTGTTTTTCGAGCCTTTCATAGTTCATAGCAAAGTATGCCTAAAGTATCAACATGTTTTTTTAAAGATGATATTATGGAGATTAGGGCAACGTTTTTAATGATCACATCTCTCAAAAATGGTTAGCTAAAGAGACACAGAAACAAGACAGCTTGGTAAAAAGTTATGAAAGTAAAATACTAGTGGATTTGCTATCTGCTTTGTTTGGTTTTTCTTTTGGAAAGGGGGGAGGGTATAATAGGACACTGTTGGCAGGCGCTAATTTTCTATCAATAAGATATTATGTCTGTCTGTCTTTGTGTCCTGCCTTCTGTTAGTTTTCTATGACTGATATTTTATCGATGTTCTTTTCATTACACTCACATTAATTCCAAAGCGGAATGACTGCACACACACACACACA